GTGATTAAGGCTCTCCCTGGATTTCCAAGAGCTGCTAAATTTAGGCCATTCTAACCAGTGGAGGCCGAGGTGTGCTATTTCTCTGTTGATCTCCAAACAGCTGCGCTCACTATCTTTTTAGCGAGAGACCTGATTTAAAATATTACAACCTCATTTCACACCTTGAATTATTCTCAAAAGGAATTAAATTGAATTTCTGTAGCCTTTTTTAAAGAAACCTATGTTGAAATATTTGCAATATATTTCAGTTTGTCAGGGTATCTGTTTTTTGAAGGTTGTCCTGTGGGCACAGTTGAGTACATTATATCCTGTTACGCTTCTGCCCAGCAATTATTCCAGTTCAGAATTAGATTAATTTTTTATCTTGCTTTGGTTACACAAACTTAAAATTGTTTTCCTTTGGTCTAAGTAACATACATAGATTAATTTCATTAATCTATCTTTTCTTTTGTAATTCAGCAGATAAACATTTACAGATTAAGAATAAAAGCTTCATTTGTAAAAAAACCAGAATCCTTCTTTCAATTCAATCCTAGACTAAATTAAACATGGATTATGCGGCGGGCACTGGTTACCTTATACAACAGATGTAGTTGTCCTGAGGTCATTTGTAGTATCATTTTGCCCAAGATGAGAACAGGATGGAAACAAGATAATATTGTTTAAAGTGACTGCTTTAGAACAGTTGTCAAGTTACTATACTAAAATAACATGCTCCTAACCATTTTAGAATTTATGATTGAACTGTATATGTTTAGATATGCAAAATGGACATTATCCTATAAGTCAAAGGACTCTCGTAAAAGCTGTCAGATATAGTACTCACAGGCAGCTGTACTTTGGAAAAATACTTTGTGCTGGGAATGGACTTAAGAGGACTTACTACTAACAGTTGAGGGGAGATGTGATAAAGGTGTGAAGTAATGCAATGCCCAGAAGGAGAGGTCTCCCTGGTGGTGCAGGGGTCAAGCTATTGCCAGCCACTGGGCAGTACTTGGCACAGCAGACCTCTCCTGTCTTGATCGCTGCTTCCCACAGCAGTGTATTTGGTACATCTGACTGCTCTGCACCCCACTCTCTCAGGTTAAACCTCTCACCCATACTGTCCTCCTGACCCCTGCACCTCTGGCCTACACCCCAGTTCTTGTATGCAGAGATAAATCTTTGAAAAATAAATGACCAGAAGCATGGAGACAATGAAATTTTTGCTTATGGAATATCAGGTGAAATTTACATCAATCACAAATTTTTAGATAACTTTGAGGAAAAAATGGTTATATTACACTGAGGTTCATTTCTAAAAGTTTCTGCAGTTTATGGTTAAAATATCACTGATACTCTGGGGCATTTAAAAAAAAATGATGTTTTAGCTACAGGAAAAAGCAGCTTCTCACATTTCAATACTAGTGAAAATAGAGAAAGCCAAATGAGAAAATTACACTGCAAATGTTTTTCAGTGGTGTTTCTGGTGATTCATGATGTTCATGGAAAGTTTAAGATAGAGGTTTTTAAGAGGAAAACCAAATTATGTATGACTAAAATATATATTTTTCTATTTCTGCCCTCTATCTCTGTGTCTCTAAAAATTGAATACAGCTCCTTGTTCTGATGCTGTGGATTTACTGCAAGCATTACTTGTTTCTCAGAGAAGACATCAGATTGAATTTGGTGAAAGGTCCCTAGCGTACTTCTATAATGATTTTCCTTAGGCAGTTTTGTGCTCTAACTTGAAGCTGAATAACAGCTTACTGTTGAATATTTTCCAGGGATTAAAGATTTGAAATATATTAGTTCCTTACTAACAATCATCAGTTTCAAGGAAGGTCTTCAAACTATTTATAGCTTAATTAGTAGAAGAAAATTGTGAACACTTGTATTTTAATACAATACAGAGCCCCAATATGTATTAAATCATAAGCTTTTTAGGAAAGGAGTTAATGGTTGGAGAATTATTTTTTTAGTGAATTTATGTTTTCTTATGCTGGGCATGAAAACAGTATAAGATGAACTTATCAAGGTGCAATAATCAACATTCTAGGAAATAAAAGTTCCTATGGAAAAGTCACAGGTCAGATTTCAAGCAAAACAAGACATTCAGTGGCATTTTCCTTAATCTGTATTCCCTCATGGGGGTGAATGAAGGGGTTATCCTTTATCCTTTTTCAATTTCTTCTCTTTACTTCAGTTTGTATTTGTATTTGGAAATCTTTATAAAAGATATAAACAGACTTTTTCCCCTGCAAACAAAAATAGCCTATAAAATGAATCTTTTCTCTTATTGGGTTCAAGATCTGTGTCTTTTTCTAATGTATTAAGCTAGCTCTTATTTTCTATTTCATGAGGCAGTCTATCACCAGTAGACAGACTGTGAAGTCCAAAGTTAGAAGAAACATAGTTGTTTCTTCCACTCCCATAATCTTTTTTTTTCACTTTAGAGGAAGATGAAAATTTGATATTATATGAAATTGACCATATAATTAAAGAGGGAGAATTAAGAGTCAAACACACACACACACACACCATTCAAGATATAAACAATTTTTTAAATAATAATTATAATGTAATGATGTTTTTGCTACTTTCATATGTATAAAATATTACCCTAAATCACTTGCTCTGGTTACTTATGGCATAAAAAACTACCAAATGCTTAGTGCTATAAAATAACCCTTTTATTGAGCGCATGTGGATTTGGTAAGTTAGGCTTTAGAATTGGCATAAATGGTTTGACTTGTTTCTATTCCAATTTATCCAATACCTCACCTGGGAAGATTTCTAGTTTGGAAAAGGTGATGACTTGACATCTAGGACCAGAATCATCTGAGATCTCTCCCATGTTGGCGGGGTTAATGCTGAGTATTGACTGGCACTTCACAGCTGAGCTATTGGCTGATGCACCTATGATATATGGGCTAGTTTGGGCTTTCTAGAATGTGTTGCTTTGCTTTCAAGAGTATATGTCCCATGACATAAAGCAAGACCGAAGTGAACAGCCATTTATGATTTAGCCACAGAAGACACATAGCATTTTTTTTTTTTTTTTTTTTTTTTTTGTGGGACCCTCGCCGGTGGCCGGGGAACGAACCGGTGCTGCAGAGGCTGCAGGCAGCCTCGCAGCCCAGCGCTCAACCGCTGTGCCACCAGGGGAGGCCCGACACATAGCATTTTATCTGTTGTAATATATTGGTTAAATTACTCAGAGGTGTTCACAGGACAAGGGGAAAAAATGAGAACATCTACTGAAGGAAAACAGCAGGGCATAGGCCTCCCTGGTGGCGCAAGGAGTTAAGCAGAGCACTGTGAGGCTATCCATAGCTTCTGCAGCATGAGTTCCATCCTCTGCACAGCAGACCTCTCCTGTCTTGTCTGCTGCTCCCCTCATCATGAACAACAGTCAGTTGTTTCAGTCAATCTGCCTGCTCTGCTCCCCAATCTGTCTCTGGTACATCCTCTCCCCCTTGCAACTCTGGCCTGTACCCTAGTTCTTGTATACATAAATAAATAAATCTTTAAAAAAGTATAAAAAAAGAAAATAGCAGGACATATGAGATAAGAGAGATTCTTGGAAAGTAGAATCTACTAGAGCACTTGACAGTATTTCATAATGAGAAAGGTTCTGCCCTTGTACATGAGCACCATTTTTATCTAACCTTCCAATTTCTATTCTAAGAGATGTTCTCCTTAAAATTGTGTGTGAAAAGAAAGCAAATTAAAAATTCACTTAAATTAATTTTCTTATAAAGAATGAAATGATAAACCAAGTTCAAGGCCATGACTACAAAGTGTAGTCAATACAAAGCTTGATGTATTTCCCTGTTTTGTATTACCAAAGATTTCCCTTGAGTTTTATCTTTTAGATGTTTTTATGTGTCAGCAGAGTTAAAAATAACACAATTATGAATCTCATATTAAGCCACCCACATAATCTTCTGAAGGTTTATAGACTTCCAGTTTATTTCCCTATATGCATACTGTCTATATGTTCAAACTCAATGCTACAAATATATCTTAAATCTTTACTTACAAAAAGCAAGGAGAAAATAACTGCTATGAGAATCCTCCATTTGCTATGCATTGTGCACATGTTATTTTATTAAATGCTAATACCTCTCGAAGGTGGGTGGTATTATCCACTTTTCATGAGACAGAAATTGAATTCAGATGGGTTAAGCGATTAATTTTACATAGGAGGATAGCTCACAACTTGAATGAGAATTCGGGTCTATCTGATTCAAAGGTGGTATTTTAAAGATATGATTGTCTTTGAAGTACCTTAGTCTATCAATTAATAATTTTAATTCAGGTTTTTATGCATATAAATTAATAAATAGTAATATCCCATTGACTTTTAACTATTTGCTTTTCTTATTACATTCCTTTAATAATTTTACTTTACCATATCTGTATATATATTTCTTCACTGTTACTCCCCTTGTCATCCATCATTGCCCAATTAAACTCTCATCTAACAACTAAGATTTACACATCACTGTGAAAAAAGGCATCAACCAGAATTCTTCCATTTTCAAAGCACCAAATCCACAAAACTACTTGCATCTGTACTCATTGTTAGGATTAATTTTGGCCCTGGCATATTTTCTGGAATGTATCTCCTTCTGCATTTTTAAGTACTTTGAAATTCCAATCAGGTCCTCTCTCTGCTAACCACTCTCTCCTAACCATTCTCACTGTAAACCCGTCTCTTCAATTTTAAAATTTCGTCCAGTGATTCCTACAAAAAATTCTTTGATTTTACATTCTTCTCTCAGCAGCTACTTTTAGCTCCTACTCCTCCTCAGAATCGCACTTCTCAAAGAGATGAAGACATTCACAGTCCTCCTAAACTCAGTTCCTACTATGCAAATCATTCCAATCTGATTTGCCAGTTTCAAAGAAATATTTTTGCTAATGCCACCGTGATAAACATATTGTCAGTGGATGTTTCAACCTTCATCTTATTTAACTGCTCAGCAATTTCTAATGGTGCTTTCTGCTCTCACCTTGAAGGAATCTTTTCTTCCTCTTCTTTTGTCTCTTTGACACCACATACTAGATTTTGTTTTGAAAGAAGGAGGAGGGTGGGCTAGGAGAGAGCTTTTTTTATTTCTAGATTCTAATAAGGGAACTCTGGAGTTTTGTCTTGGGTCCTGTTATTCATAGAACATTCTTTCCCCTGGTATGCTAGAATGTTCATATTAGTACCCCCTCCCCCACGCCATGCTCGCTTTATCTTCTTCTCATTTTGCACTGTGCTTGATGAGGTTGTTTTATGGAGACTGCACTACTGATTGTCTTTGCCCTCTGACTTGTGATTGGGTTTGTTCTATGTGAGACCTTCAGGATATTGGAGATTTGGAGAACAGAGTAAGAACAGTTATTTCCCCACCTTCTGCACAGCTCAGTCATTTAAAGAAGGATGAATTCTGCTAACCATGGCCCTAACTTCTATCAGATAATGCTGTATAGACAGCTACTCTGAGTTTCTTAGCTGCAGTAGTTCTAAGTCTCTTAATCTTACAGTCAAGAAGTTCCTAGTTTTTGCAAGACCGGGACACTGCACCAATTATCATAAGGTTTTTTAACCCCTATCCATACTTCCTCAATAATTCTTTTATTAAACACTTTTTTAAAAAAGATTTATTTATTTATACAAGAACTGCGGTACAGGCCAGATGTGCAGGAGGGTGAGAGGATTCACCAGAGACAGAGCGGGGAACAGAACAGGCAGACTGATGAAATACACTGCTGAGGGGAGCAGCCGGTGAGACAGGAGAGGTCTGTCACGCCATGTGTGTATCTCCGTGGCCGGCGGGGATTGAACCGGCACTGCAGAGGCTGCAAATATCTTCAGTGCTGAGCTCAACCTGCACCCAGGGAGGCCCTTATTAAACTCTTAGTAGTTCATTTTAATTATATTTATTTCCTATTGAGATCCTGACACGTGGACTCTTTCACTAAGAAATAAACATTCAGATGGGGTTTGGGACACAAAGCCTTCCCAGGAATGTATTTCTGTGAAACACAAAAAGAGGAAAAGCAGGATTGGGCATAGAGTCTTCAAACAATGATTTTTATTTTTTGAGAAAAGAAAGGAAGTTGGGGATGCAGGCTTGGACATGAGTGGTTTCAAATCACAATGCAGATCTGACAAAGTCTCAGCCAACACACAGAAAGTTCTGGGATAAATGCATACCATTCAAGGAGTCCTCTATTGTATAAAAGTAGCATATCCATCATCCTTAGTGATTGATCCCTTCCCATGATGTTTGTGATCTGGTTCAAGACCTAATTGGATTCTGAAGGCAATAAGAGCAGAGAGATTCCGCTAATTGCAGTCCTTGCAGTTGAATTCAAGTTTTTTCTTGAAGGCAGAATTTAGTTACACATAATAAAACAAAACATTAATTTTCTCCTTTTTCTCAAACTTGACTACTATTTCACTATTGGGGCTTTTTTAAAATTCCACCTTTCTGCACTGTGTTAAAACCAAAAATATAGGAGTCTTTTTGATACCCTTGTCCTGCACACAACACATTGTCTTCATCATTAAAACTGTTGTCAAACATATCTTGAAAAAACATATTTGGCCTTTTTTCCGTATCTTTGTGACCACTTCCCTAGTTAGGCATTACCCGTTCTTGTCTGGAACAAGCCCCTTATTTGGTCTTGTCTGGAACAGCCCCTTATTTGGCCTTTCCATTTTCATTCCTGTCCCCTTCCAATCCATTAGTCAGAGTGGATGTCTTATAAGTGGATCAGGATTATCTCCTGCTCAGAATGCTCCAATGGTTTCATAATTTACTCATGATAAAGCCTTTCTATGTCCCCTAGGACTCTCCATGACATAGCTCTTATTTTTCTTCTAGTCTAGTCTGGTGCCTCTTACCCTCTTATTCATTATATTCCAGTCATATTTGTCTTCATTAGAGATAATTCAAAATTTCTAACCCCCTCCACCCCACCCTACACACTTTTGGGCTTCTGCTTAGAATATTTTTCTTCTCACTTAAGTTTACAACTGTTGCTCAGCTTATATCCTTGAGTTTATTTTTTATTTTTATTTTTAAAATTTTTTAAACAATATTTGCTTCCCCCACCCCCTCAGATTGAGTCCCCATAGAATTTCCTTCCCCAAGGCACCCGTGCACCATCACCACAGTCCCCTGTGCTCCTCCCTCCCTCCCTCTGATCCCTCTCCCTCCTCCTCCCCTGCAGGATGTCTCTGATTTATGTCTGTTTTTGCTTTGTTGTGTTTTGTGCTGTTATTATTTTTTTACACCAATGTCTTATTTGGTTCCCCTATATTCCTGCTGTTAGTGAAACCATCCGATATTTTTCTTTTTCCTTCTGGCTTATTTCACTGAGCATAATTCCTTCTAGCTCCATCCACGTTGCTGCGAATGGCATGAGTGTATCTTTTTTGAATGCTGAGTAATATTCCATTGTGTATATGTACCACATCTTCTTGATCCAGTCATCTATTTTTGGGCATTTGGGTTGTTTCCAGGTTTTACCTATTGTAAATAGTGCTTCAATAAACATAGGTTTACAGGTGTTCTTTTGAATCAATGTTTTTGTGTCCTTTGGGTTGTATGCTTAAATTTAAATAGAATTTCCTTATAGGTTACTCTCCGAATCTCTTCATCTAATTTAGGGTCCCTATCATATTCTCTCATAGAATTCTATTGCCTTTTGTTCTATGTAACATTGCAGTTTACTATTATTATGTATTTGTGTGGTTGATTTGTTTAGTGTTCCCTCTGAACAAGATCCGAGAACTCAGATACCCTATGTTTTGCTTATAACGACATACCCAATATCTGGCACAGTACCTAACATGCACTTGGAGCATTCATTTTATAGATGAATGAACAGATAATTCTAAATAAAATCATAGCATTAGCATTCCATTTAATTTCATCCTACTTTTATTTCAGGAACTATGATTACTATTTTGACTCATCTTTTTTCATGTCTATGATTTTTCCATTGCTTATCTTATCATTTGGACTTACGAAGTCCAATAAATAATATCAGTCATCATAATAATTTATATTTGTATACATACGATGTACATTAATTTTTTAAATGACTATAGTCATACATGCTGACTACTAATAATTATTTAGATATCTTCATTTAAAGTGATTAATAAATAATGCATCCAATCCATCAGATTCATTTATCTGGACATTGCTTGTGGCTTCTTTGTGAGATTTATGTTTTCCCTCATATGAAAAATATGTTTTTAGCCTAGGTACAATGTACCAAAGAGCCTGCTCCAACTTCTCCAACATAATTATCTCCTACCACCAACTAAGCAAAGTGGCACATCCGTTGACTTGATGAGAATGCCAGAATTATTCTGCTTTCCAACAGACAGCAAAGTGGACTCCTCCTGGCACTCATTTTATGTGCCTAAAGAAAGCCTTTTTCTGGGAAACAGGAAGTCTGTGAATGCACCATAGGGAATTCTGACTGAATATTGCCATTCTCTTTCTACACAATTAAAAAGACACAAAGATGATAAGAAAGTGCTGACATCATTCCCATCTCCATCTGAGGCACAAACAATAGCTGTGACTCTTGATTTAATAATGCACTTAGAATATTTCTCTTTTCACAGACTTATGTCAGACTAGTTACAAGATTTCCTAGGAGAAGCTATCCCATCTGCACCCCACTTAATTTTTCTTATTTCTTTACATGTCACATCACATATGTGACTAACCACAGGCTTCCACTAGAAGGATAAAAAAGAGGTTTTATTCAAAGCATTTTGATGGAAAAATAAACCAAATCCAAGAACCAAAGAGAATTTACTTTGAGTTCTTTAAGAAAGCTATTATCTCTAAATTCTTCTCATTAAAGTGCAAATTAGATTCGATCAATTCAGAGAACATGTTCTTGACACAAAAAGTGAAGACCTAAGATGACAAGATCATGCTAAATCAAAGAACATTGTTAAGTAATGTTTTTGGTAGGTATGAAAAATAATTTAAGAATAGACCTGATGCTTATGTATCAGTGTTATTTTAAATTGGTGAACTCAGTTAAGGCATCCTTTGGGAATCATGGTTATTTATATGGCAGTAGTTATATTTAACAACAACAAAAAAAGGAAATACAAACTATGTGAAAGAAAACCATTTTTCCAACCATGAAAGCTTTGTATATTAAGAACAGTTTCATTTATGTCCATTTAAAGAAAGGGTGTGTGGTCCTTAAAATTCAGTCTAGTTCCTAGTGTATAGACTCCAGAACCCTTATATTTGTGCCACCTTCTTTCTCTCTCCCCTCCCTCTCTTGTTCCCTATCCCCTGCCCTCCCTTCCCCCATTCCTCTCTGTCCTCTGTCTCTCCCTTTCTCTCTCTCTCTCTCTCTCTCTCTCTCTCTCTCTCTTTCTCTCTGTTACATTTTAAAAGGACAGCTGCATTAGGAAAAGGAGAGAGAAAAATGAGACACTATGTGCCATGTTCTCTTTCTTAACTCTAAATCTCTTCTAAATCTTCTACTTCATTTTTTTCTTATTGAAAAATGTCACATGTATTCATTTTACAAATATTTTTGATGCATTACTCTGTATCACGCATTCTTCATAGCAGTGAAGAAATAGACAAATCTTCCTGCCATTATTCCCATCTTCTGACACATGAAGAATAGTTGTGCGTCTTGGTTTAATTGATGTTTTTCCATATTGATCAGGTTTCTGAACTTATTGGTAATCCTTTTATTGTTCCTTTCTACATTTAGGAAAATGCCCAAACACATTTATTTAGTATTGGATCTCTTCAAAAATTGGCCTCTTACTGGCTTTGTAGCAGGTGTGTGTGTGTATGTATGTGTGTGTTTTCTAATATAACTTTATTTGCCAAATTCGTGGTAGGAAAATTTTTCTCTATAATCATTTGCTTACGTACTTTTGGACTACTTTATGAAACTCTACCATTCTTAGTACAGGGTTTCCATTCTGAAACTTAATAGTATTAGACACTTCTGGTTTTTAGCCAACATATCAATATTACAGGCAGGAAGCTGGAAGAAGAGTACAAAAGTTAAATGATAACTTGCCAGTACTTTCTTTAAATAGAATTCTTACATACTTTGCCCTATATCTGCTTAACTCTCATTAGTAGCCTCTTTACGCAAAGAATCCAGGAGAGATAGTTGATTGGATGGATGTATATTTATTCAATAAGATGAGGATTCTGTTACCAAGGAGTCAAGGGTAATGGAGTTTGGATGAGCTTCTAGCAGTCTCTAATGTCTACCAGATTTCCATCACACAGAGAGCCATTTTCTTTCTGTATCAAATGAGAGACATTTAGCATGTACCTCACAGAGTTGCTTTGTGAAGATTGGATGATCTAACACACAAATATTGTTGGGAAATTGTCCTACTGTAAGCAATAATTAAAGTTGGCACATTGTTCAAATTAGCATTATTTTCATCTTTTGTGTGTTTTGTTCTTTGTGGTACTCCAAGTGTGTTGGATATTATCTGGCATACAGAGGGGTTCAGTCAACATTTTTTGAATGATTTAATTAACTGCTGTTATAATAAGTTAAGCTTTTAGGATTGTAGGCAACAGAAATTGATTCTGGTCCACTTAATCCTTTATGAAAAGAATACTAGTTGTTTCTGAAGATGACAAGATAGCTGCAGAGTTGGGCTCAGATAGGGACAGGTATCCAATTACTGCTGTAATTATTTAGGTCCAGCTATTTTAATCCTGTCCTTGAATCATTCCACTCAACATTTAAAGCCCCAGGATGCAAAGTCTAATGCGCCAAATATGACTGAATCATCCATCTCATTTTGGATAAAAAAAAAAAAAAACAGGACACCTTGTTTTGTAGTCCCACAAAAACCACATACAGCTGGACAAAAGCAAGTTGTTAGAATGAAATCAATGTGAAGGATGAAATCTTCTGGAAGAAACTAAGTGAAGACACAAGGAAATATCCATCATTTAAGATGAATGTTTATCTTTTTAGTTTGCTTTGCTTCAATGAAGTTATGATTGTAATAAGAGACACAACAACTCGGACTCTCTTGATACATCGGTATCTTCATTATTTCCAATTAAATAGGAAAGTAACAACTTGTAAAACTGAGTGCAAGAACTCGGAACAGATAATACGAAGATAGTTTCTTTTTTTCTTTCTTTTAATTTTTTTTTTGTTGTTGTTTTTAAGGAGTGGGGTACAGGCCAGAGTCGCGGCGGGGGCGGGGGGGTTGTTGAGAAGATTCTCTAGAGAGAGTGGGGAGCAGAGCAGGCAGATGTGCCCAAATACACTGCTGAGGGGAGCAGTGGGCGAGACAGGAGAGGCCCGCTGCGCCATGTGGGTTGCTCCCCAGCCGCCAGGATTGAACTCACGCTGCAAAGGCCTTGGACAGCCTCACAGTGCTGCAGTCAAACCCCTGTGCCATGAGGGAGGCCCCCAAGATAGTTTCTTAAAGTAGAGGACAGGGTGCGTCAGTGAGGTCTTGATGTTAATGGTGGAAAACAGCAAAAAAATGCTGGAGAAATGTGAGGTGAAAGCCCATTCTAAGCACCATGACTTTAGGTGATGACATGTGTATAACTAAATCTTCTAATCATACATTTCTAGCCATTTTGTTTTTATGATTATTTTATAAATGTTTCTAGTTATTTTATTTTCTATAGCAATCATAGTGCCAGTCCAATTGATTACTGTGCAGTTGACTACTATGTCTCTGATAAAAAGTTGAAACCAGATGGTTTTTCATTTTGTTTGCTTTTATAAATATAACTGTGACTGCTGGTCCATGATAACCTAGGAATTTATTTTTAGGCATGATTCACAATAGTATTATCTATTATCATTATGCAAGTCTCAGACATTTGGAATTGCTTTAATTTGGTAAATTTTTATAATTTGCAGAATTAAAGTTATCTCTTTTATTGCTAGAAAAAAGCAATTTATATGCACTCCAAAGTTGATTTGCATGATTGCTAACATATATGCTTTTACTGAGAACCATTTCAATTCATTATTAGAAATCTGTACACGAGCAGATTATATGCATGGATAGTTACAGAGTTTATTTAACCTCCTTTCATAATTTAAGTCTAGATTTTTAAAATTTTGCTTAGTTATTAAAGACTTGATGAATTCAGCTTAATAAAAATGACACCTTGTTTGCTCTTGGAATGTGGAGTTTATAAAACTGACAAAAATATCTACTTGTATGAAGCTAGACTTTATAAAATGTTCTTCATATTTTGCATTTTCTATTAAATTTATTTATATGACCTGGCATTAAGAAATTTATATTAAAATACCATTCACAAATGAATAGGTAATTAAAGTCAAGTATTGTGCAAAATAGAATAATAGAAATTCATTATTTAGAAAATTAAAATTCTTCATGCTTTAAACTTGTCATTTTTTTCCTTTGTGCAATAATATTAATCTTTTGATCTTTTTTCTTTCTACAGTGCTTTAATATATTATTGAAACTACACACTCACATCCACAGTGGTTTCATGTTGACAGATTGCATACTTTGAAAGCTTGAGATACTTTATCATGAAATATGCCGTGTGGGAACTTTGAAGCATAGAATTCTGTCAAACACCTGAACAAAGAATTCTTCACCTGGTATGTAAGAAAACTTACCACCACGATGACAAACCAGGAAAAGTGGGTGCACCTCAGCCCCTCAGAATTTTCCCAACTTCAAAAATATGCTGAATGTAAGTATTCATGTTGATAAACTAATTTTATTTGACTTTGTTGCTAAACAAGGTATCGTTTATTTTTAAGAACAGATAACCTATCTTGTTCAGCATTGGGGTAGGTGTGGGTGTGTCTTTTGTTCATAAATAGGTCAGCTTGGGATCAACTTTTGACGTAAGAAAAAGGAAAAGCTAAACATAAATGAGAGTTTTAGATACTGTAAAGGCCGGACTGGGCACAGTGCAGGTTTTCTGATCCCATGCAGACCGGGTAAAGGAGGAGTCAGAATCCTCAGTGGTTTTTTGCAGGTCTTTTATTTGGGGTTCACCAGGCATATGGCAGGCAGGGGTGCTGGCTGGGGGGCTGGGAGGCTGGCAGGCCTCCCAGCCCCAGCAAGTCTTCACTCTATCTGGGCTCTCTAGCGTTCGTTCTGCTGCTTCTCGGCTTCTCTTTCGGCTTCTTCTGCTGCTGCTGCTGCTGCTGCTGCTGCTGCTACTGGTGCTGCTGCTGGCGTCCCCGTGATGCCGCCCTTAAAAAGCACAGTCTTAGCTCAGCTGAATCCCATCTACCTATGCCCGCACCCTATTCCAGGTGCCCGCCATCAGGCATGCATTCAGGACAAGGATCCATCATCTATCCTGATGGCGGAAGGGCAGAAAAGCCTGATATTTTCTTTACCCTACAGATACACTATGTAGCTGGAACTAGAGATTGTAAAGAATGATATTAGGACCTTAAAAATTCATTACTGTGAGTATTTACACAAGAGAGAGAGGCCATGGTAATACACTTTATAGTAGGCAATTTAAAATATTAGGTTTCTTTATACATACATAGTAAGATTTTGTTTACATGAAAATTGTATCTTACTATATAATTACAGAAATGTATGTGGGATATGGAACTCACAAAATGAGTTACAAATGTAAGAATAGCAACTGGGTCAAGGTATTAAATTGAGAAAAGGAAGCACCTAACAAATAGGAGGCCCCTGTAGGGTAAGGTAAAAAGTATCAGGCTTTTCTGCCCTCCCAGCATCAGGATAGATGATGGAACTCTGTGGCCCTGAATGCATGCCTGATGATGGGCACCTGGAATAGGGTGTGGGCATAGGTAGATGGGATTCACCTGGCCTAAGACTGGGCTTTTAGGGGTGGTGTCGCGGGGACTCCAGCAGAAGCTGAGAGAGAAGCAGAAGCAGCACGAAGCAGAAGAACCACGAGAACAAGGCCACCAGAGAATGCCAGAGAGCCCAGATAGAGTGAAGACTTGCTGGGGGCTGGGAGGACTGCCAGCCTCCCGGCCCCCCAGCACCCCTGCCTGCCTTGTGCCTGGTAAATCCCAATAAAAGCTTGCAAAAGCCACTGAGGGCTCTGACTCCTCCCTCACCCCATCTGCTGGGATCATAGAAAACCTGCACTGTGGCCCATTCCTGCCCTTACAGCCCCCAAATGGTTCAGATGATGCGTAGAGAAAAAATAATATGTAGTGAATATAATGGAAATGGTGAGAGTGGAGGGAATAACATGGTGCCTGGGAGAATAAAAAGTAAGAATTGGAAAGGAAAAAAGCCACTAGCCTATAATAGTGAGAGGCCGCAGTGCAAGCAGCTGCTGATGCTTAACACAGACAGGAGGTGTGGCCCATAGAAGGTATGTTCAGGAATGTTATGAAGGAAAGGCAGAGAAGAGATTAAATACAGAAGGGAAATTTACAGTAATAAGAAATAGATGTGATAATAAGAGTGAATAATAGCAGTCACATTTGTAGGTTACATATTTAAGTTAGGATTATAATTATACACATTTTATCTGAAAAGTTGAGTTTCAAAGGTTTTCTAAAATCTCCCTAACTCAAGGGCTGAGGTTCTCTGGGTAATAGTGTAAGTGCTTATGGATCTTTGTGAGAATGTTGGAAATCCATGAGAGCATGTGCATTTTTTTTTAGTCAATGTTAATGAAAATATAGTTTTCATAAAAATAGACAATTATAGATCAGAGACATCCTGCAGGGGAGGGGGAGAGGGATCAGAAGGAGGGAGGGAGGAGCACAGGAGACTGAGGTGATGGTGCACAGGTGCATTGGTGAAGAAAATTCTGTGGGGACTACACTGGGTGGGAGCAAACATTGTTTGAAAATGAACAATGATGTAAAAAAATAAAAAAAATGGTTTCACATAGAAAGGGTCAAAATGTGGTCCTCATACTTAAAATTGTTTTGAGTTACTGAAAATGTGATCTATCCATTTATCACATGAAGAAAATTTAGTCCATTTTGACTGAATTCTTACCTACATTTTCTATTTAATAATTTCAAAAGTAAGAAAAAATGATTTACCTGTGGTTTCCAGTTTCTATATGGTTTTGCTGTTATATGCAGCAATTAAGAAAATACTTATGAGCATCTATTTTGGGAGTATATTCTGGTTGGCACTATAGGTATGAACAAATAGGAGCCCTCCCTTCAAGAAGTTTATGGTTTAACAAAGGCTAGAAACTAATGCATAAATGATTCTTTATCTAAGCAGCATATTGTTAATTCTACAAGTAAAGTTAGGGTCATAGGGGTCCTGTGTGCTGTTGGAGATGAAGAAGGGGAACTCTTTTTTAAAAAAAATATTTATACATACAAGAACTGGGGTACAGGCCAGAGTTGTGAGGGGTGAGAGGGTTCACCAGAGACAGAGTGGGGAACAGAACAGGCAGATCAACTGAAATACACTGCTGAGGGTTGCAGCGGGAGAGTCAGGAGAGGTCTGCTGTGCAATGTGCGTTGCTACCTGGCCAGGGATGAAACTCGTGCTTCAGTGGCTGTGGCAAGCTTCATAGTTTGTGTCTTAACCTCTTGTGCCACCAAGGAGGCCCAAGAAGGGGCACTCTTTAGGGAAGAAACATAATTTGAAATAAATATTGAAAAATAGGCTTAAGGTAAATGGACATTGAATATAGATAAAAAAGGAAATTTAGCTTGGCTATGAGGAAGGGAGATGAGCCATATGTAGATACACCACAAATAAAGGAAGTGAGTGGAGTTAAGAATGTAAAATGAGATGAAATTAAAATTTACAAGTTAAGCTAGAATTAAGCAGGGTGTAGTAATGGTAGTATTTTAAGTGTAGAGAGAGCAACATAGACAATGTTGTGCTTCAAGAGTTTTAATTTTGCAACTCTGAAAATGGTATAAGGTAAAGGAAAGAAACTAGAGTCAGGTCAATGGGCTGTTGGAATAGATTAGATCTTGGGGATAATGAAGGAACACCAGAGAAGTGGAAATTAAAATATTTTAGAATTATAGCTTACAGGAAAACTTGGGAAATAATATAATGAAATATGAGCATTGACAGATTATGTAGAAATGAGAGCGAGTGAGAGGGATCTAATATTTAACTTCAAAGATTTGATTTGGAGAATAGGGGGTTTGCTTAACATAATCCCCCAAGTAAAGAAGAAGTGAATTTGGTTTAGGTTATGTTATATTTAGCTAGATTATAAAATATATCTCCTGATTTTTTGGTACAAGCAGGAAAAATGCCTATGAAAGCATTAATCTAAATAAATAAATAATAATCTAAATAATATTTAGAATATTGCCATGATAGTTAACATATCATTTTAATGACTATTGCTCATGTATTCAAATTACATTTGAATTGGTAAACAATTTAATACTAAAGTTTTAAATATAGGTTGCTGCTTTTATTTGATTGGCTAGGGAATATGGAATTACATGTAAATATATCATAAGAATGCATTATTTAATAATCAGTTTGAGGAAATGCATAAAACAGTGGTAAAATAAATGTCATAAGTATAAGAGTTGTAACTTATAGAGGCAAAGATTATTGCGCTTTCAATAAATTGGTACTGAAAAATGATAGAGTGTAAGAACATTATTAAAATAGATTTTATGAGGAGACAAATTAACTAACTTTGAATTTAAAAAATAAGGCTGATACCATGATAACTAGACATATTATTATTTTTTAAAGATTTATTTATGCATTTAAGAGCTGGGGTGTAGGGCAGAGGTGCATGGGCTGGGGAGAGGTGAGAGGATTCATGAGAGGTGTAGTGGGGAGTCGAACAGGCAGACTGACTGAAATACACTGCTGAGGGGAGCAGCAGTCGAGACAGGAGAGGTCTGCTGCGCCATGTGGGTCAGCTCCCTGGCCAGGTATCGAACTCATACTGCAGTGGCTGTCTATAGGTTCATAGTGCTGAGACTTAACCCCTTGTGCCACCAGGGAGGCCCCATACTACTCTTTTTTAAACAACCAAGACTACATGAAAAATGTTGGACTTAATCCTCTGAATTGTTTCTTGTATCCATAGGAATAGAATGAGTAGAATGAATCTTTGTGTAATAGATTGTCATTGTCAAAGCATAATTACAGTTAATTCTGAAAGCTGAAAAAGTACTGTTTTCCTTGCTATTGAGTACGTGTGATCAGTTTATCAGCAGTACTTAAAAAATGGACTTTTCATATTGCAGAACAATATTGGCTAAGTGATATTCTTCCATACTCTCCTAGAAAAGTGGTGTGCTGGATTTTTTTATCTTGATTTTAATTGTTTTGTATCTTTCAAGAAAAAATTGTTTATTGTAGTAAATGACTAAAAATTAAAAAAAAATAGTTGTGGCTAACTTTACAACTTACTAAAATTATGCATTTTATTTATTTACTAAATGTTTTATATGCTTTTTGGGAATGGGATGAGGTTGTGGAACTCTTGGTTAAGATTAAAGAGTTCATGGAAACCCTACCCAAGCAAAATGTAATCATTCAATCTTGGACCTAGGGAGGTGACATAAGCAACATTTCTGGAAGTTATGATTTTGAATTCTTGTCGCAATTGCCCTAGTATACCCTGTGCTCTATTTTGTTTGGGCTATTATGGCACAGTCCCTTAAATCTGGTGACTTGTAAACAATATATAGTTGCTTAGCACAATTCTGGAAGCTGGAAGTCCAAGAGCAGGATGCCAGTACGGTTGTTCCATTAAGGGCCCTGTTATGA